TTTTTAATTATAGGAAATACGTTTTTCTAAGGTACATAAACTTTTGGGATTGACTGTATAGCCAATACATCCTTAATTCAAGTGATGTAGCTCTTTTCGTTCTTGCTACGAACTAATTACATATCTTTTATACGTATATATTCAAGGATATTCGATAGAGCGATCGGACGACTCTCCTTGCTGCTCGTATCCACTTTCGTCTCAATTATAATTTACCGAAGCTAAACAAAACAAAACGGCAATAAACAACAGGCGCGTGTAATCGAAAAAAGCCTAATTCTCCTTCGTTCTTGACGCACGCACCACTTAAGATTCCGAGAGGCTTTTGAAAACGCAATTTGCAATCGAAATATGCTCCTCCTTCCGTTCGGTAATTATTGAAAATTCCGGGGTTCTTCAACGATGACTGTGCGTAAGTGCTCGTATCTTTTTCCACGATTTATTTAACCATTTTCGAAACAGGCGCAGTATATTTACCGTGAGGCGATTCGAGGGGGTGGTCCACGTACTTCAACGTTCGTTGGACTCCCGGGCCGAGGGGCACTTCGATGAATTTGAACGAGCATTACGGTATCCGGTCGCGGATTGTGCATTCTCATTGCTCGTGTCCTCTCGCTCGAGTAGTATGAGAGATTTTAGGCTCCATTCAAACGAGTCAAAACGAAGAAAACATTTAGGGTTTACAGAGCGCGTCGATATTAATTCTTTCCCAGTCACCCTTTTCCACGAGTTACTATGGGTCACAATAACGTCAAATTCAACGGTCACGGCAAGAATTTATATTGAAACACGAACAACGTAAGGAGAAAGAATATAACGATAAATATAAGGGAGGATCGAGTAAAATAAATTTATTTCGCGGTAGCGGATTTATTTTTAACTGGTCAAAAGAGGTGGGGATTCGACGTTTTTGTCAGTGTATAGGGGAACGGCTGGCAGTTCTTATGACGAGAAACTCGTTCCTCTTTTAAATACCTACCGACTGGGCCACCTTGCAATCGTCTAACACGATGTACAGAGAGGATGGAACCCTCGCCTTCCTCGAACGTCGTAAAGGTTCTCCATATTTTTTTTCCCGCGCTTGTTCCGCGGGAAATTACTTCAAACCAGATACTATCTTCTCGCGTGCCTCTACAACCACTCGCAGAATGTTACCCACAAATTGCCGATGCACTTGCGCTTTCAAGTCTCTTTGTTGTACGTAATTGTTACATTTTGAGACATTGCTGACTTGTGTCGTTTATGTTGAATGTAAATGAATTCATCTTGACGCTTGCATGTATTTATATTCATGTATAATATTCTAATAATAAATAAATACAAATAATAAATTGTATAATATATTTATAAATTAATGAATTAATGAATAAATGTAATAAATTATTAATAAATTGTATAATTGTAAAATATATAATATCCTAATAATAAATAAATACAAATAATAAATTGTAATAATATCTACTACATACATACATTAAAAATGTCATACCAGCACATATAATGCGGAATCTAATCTCAAAAGACGAATACATGCATTTTGCAACCAGTTTACTGCAATTTAATAATAATAGAAGAAACATGTGAATTAGAATTTTCGCCTTCAACCGTATGATGATAACGCGTATACAAAATTACTGAGAAGATCACTTCCAAGAAAGCAAACTCCCCCTACGCACGGGGTTACATTCCTTCGTTTCAGCGCGTAGGTATACATAGCCTGCGGTCTCGCTCGGGATGTTCTTACTTAGAGAAGCGCGCGGGAGGTGAAAGATCCTCGGTCGCGGATGACTTCATACAACGGAGTTATTCCTTATACCGATTCCACCACGGTTTGATCGCATACGCATTCACGCGTTTGCGATTATCGTCACGCGCATCCATACCGTTATCCTATTACGTAACGCACCGCGTACTTATTGCACCGAACGAGAACTTACGTGGTACCAGAGAAGGACAGTTTGAAAGTTTGTAATTTCCGAATGAGTAAACTAATTAATAGAAGTTCGGATTGAATCAATAGGCAGTGATTCTTCAAGGAATTTGATTAAATTAATTGCACACATTGACTCAATTGTCGATCAGAATATTAATCATAATTTTATGTTCTTCGAGTTAGTTAAGTCCAAATAAATACTCGATAATCATGAGGATCATCAATGCAAGGTGGGTTTTTCCCTGGGTTTGGTTAAGATAACACGATGCAAAATGTTTCGGAGAAGAGTGAGATGGAGCGGCGATAAAACAATTAAAAAGGGACTATAGGACCAGCGGGATGAGACGTGCCGCTGGAGGGTCCGGCAAAGGAGAAAAATAAAAGATAAGAGGAGAAAATAAGAAAAGAGAAGAGACGGTGGACTCGAACTCGTCAAGGACCAGAGGTCCTTGCTCTCCGGGTCATAGCGACCCACAGACTCGCAACACCTTCTGCACTTCGGACTAACCCAGAGGCTCTCAAATTTCATTCTATTTTTCATGAATTTTTTTATCTCTTACACGCATTGATAAACGTGCAACGATGTTGAACATTGAGCTAAAAGACAATTTACATAATTCAAATGACTGGATGATATAGTAAAATGTAAATCTTGTTCCTTCATTTTTAAGTAATTACGGGCTAAAGTGCAACGACGTACATTTGTTTGATTGAAATGTCCTCCTAATAAGACGGTCTTATTAAATTTTTCGCTTCTTAACTGACCGACCGAGATAACGAGGTACCCGTCCATTAATCTGTCAACACGCGCAGGACCTTTATAATGAAGTGGACGATAAGAAACCGATGCCACCGGGCATTTCGCTCTACCGTAATTTACTTGACAAGATGAGTTAATATGTACTTCACGCAATTGTAACAGTGTTAACAATTTCGGTGATAATTACTTTTCCTTGATGTATAAGCAAGAGATCATTAGATTTCTGTGATGCATGATGAAATGACAAATCTCACTTATCAGTTGTTCTGTTGAGCCGATCAATAAGTTCGTAAGAGAAATATAAATGAAAGATAATTCTCCATACGTAATTTCCATTCTCAGTTTAAAAATTGAATACATAGTCTTTAGCTTTGAAATAAGCCTGTGATCACGTTTACATGGATGCTTGAAAGTTGCCTACTTTCAAGGCGCACGCTGATGCGTACCGAAGACTTCATGCAAAATGTAACTTAAATTCATTTTAAAGTTATTTTTTCAAAGGAAAAAGAAGATGTAGTTTCTAAAAATTTCATGGTGCCATTGTTGTTAAGAAAATTTTAACGTCGTACAATATTCTCGATTGAAGTATGAACCGCTGCGAATCGATTGATGGCATGCTTAATTAACGAACATAACTGGTAATTGCTAAAGTCCTGGATCAAGGGGTAGGAGGGAAATAGAGAACATAGACCGCGCGAGAGAGTTTCGAAACGCGGCGTTTCATTGTTTCATTCTTTAAGGTGTCTCGTTTCCTCTTGTGACCATTCTCACCGAGCATCACGATAATCTTCGTCTGGGTAACTAGTCGTCTTCTGTTTTCTTACATAAGGGAACAAGGTGAGAAACCTTGTTAAAGTCTACACCAAGATCCGAGTGTTCCTTTTTCCGGGAACTACACAATATGTTGTATGTATATTCGGCCGCTTGCGTAATCTCTGTCTTTTTTGTTTTCCATGCAAATTTTCGCTGATTGAAACATTCGGTGCGAAACTTTCCTGACATCCTTGATCGTATCGCTTCGAGGTACATACCTGTTGACGATTTTGCATTTTCAAGCTATACTTTTCTTCATTGTTTCATCATTATCACAACTTGAATTTATCATTTCACTCAGTTACTAAAATAATTATATCTATAATGAGATGTTCTATCTTAATTGCTAGATATTTAACATAAACAATTGATTATTGTAATTTACTGCTGATTGCGTAACTTAATAATTACAAATACTTGAATCTAGCGATACATTGAGACTTCAATGAATTTATTTACTTTCTCATACACCTTTCGTTCCAATTTGTGTTTAGTTCAATATGTATATTGTATGTAGATACAGCTATTAATCATACATTCAATTACCATTTATTGCTTTACGTACTAAGAAAACATGTTATTCCCCATAAAATATGTTGATTACGTTAGAGAGGGCTTAATGATTTGAAAGCGTTAAAGCCGCATGAATCTCTTGAGTAGCATTCATAAAATGGCTTTCTACTCTGTTAATGAAGTATTTTTTATCTCAAACGAGTAGTCCAATTATCCCCAAATAATTTTTGGCTGAGTCACTGTTGTCCAGTTATCTAGTAACATCTTGGAAAAAAACGTAACATGTTGCAAAGATGTACATTCGGAAAAATTTGCGCGAGATCAGCAGAAAACGGGTGAAAGGATTGAGATAGTACGGACAGATTTTAGAGGAAGGAGAAACCACTCTATTATTCATTCGCGTGGAATTAATAATAATGCTAAACGTTGTGTCTAACTCGATCCACTTAAGTTGCACAACGTGCTCCTGTAGACGTAGGATAGTTTCAATCCTAAAGAATGGTTTGGTACAGTTTCGAAGTGGCAGCCATTAAAGCGTTATTAGATTATAGAAAGTCTTTTCATTCTTACTGTATGTACATGTATACATGAATCATGAAATTAAAGGAAAATCGTTGAAGTTGACGGGAAATTATGTTAACAGTAATGTTGTACATATGTATACTCGATGAGAAACGTGGAACGCGAAGAAAAACGACGAGAGGAAGAGCCGCCAATGGATTTCATCCAGTATAATCAAAAGTGTTTCACCACCATTTTCACCGAGTTATCGCGTGAAGCGGCTCGAACCGGTGAAAGAAACCGTGAAGGTCCTTTTCCCGAGACTGCTGACACGCGAAGTTCCGCGAAAATCAAATGTACATTTTTCATATATAATTATAATTGGACTGCAGATTTCATGTATTTATAGAAAAATTGTAACTACGGAAGATATAAGGAAACCTTGGAATAAAAATATACAAAGTATTAAAACGTAAATCGATGCTGCAACACTTAAATGATAAAAGAAATGTCTAAAGATGCATTTCTTAACTGATATCATAAATGTTCTACTTTGCATAGAAATTTAAAGTTTAATAATATCAAAATTTCTAAAGAATTGAGTTAAAACTTTGGGTACGAGAGAAAAAGATAGAATGCAGGAATGGAATTTAATCAGAAGGAGATTCCCTAGAAGGATCAAGGATACAGGATGTTCTATAAGGTCGATCAACGCATCAGCGATTAATCAATCGTCCTGTTGATTCACCGCGATGTACGCTAACAGGCACAGCGGGATGGAAAAAGAGCCGCGGGAGATGACATAGAAAGCAGGAAGAATTTTTGCTGATTCGGCCTCGGTAGATAACGGGAATGAAATACGATCGCATGCGACGAAAGAGCCGTCGCGATCTCGTAGGCACCGCGACGAAGTATCCGAGCATGAAGTATCGTACTATAAATCCAATTAATTCGTTGCTAAATCGTGGCAACGGATGTATGTGCTACTTCGACCCTGTTCAATGTGTTAATAATTACATGAAACGAAATTCCAGTACTTTCATTTTTAATTTCAAGATTAATTAATTAAACGCCTTCGCCGTGATCATATACCCAATAATTACATAGGAAAATGAGTTTATAATTTCGTTAATTGAAACCATAAATTCCTTTTATCTGATATCTATTACATTGTTATGAAATGCTACATTAAGATGGACATACATTTTTGCTAGTCTAACGATTTCAGAATTGAACTCATAACTCATTGAACTCAATAACATCTTAAAGACATCGCGGAAACGATAGTATCAATCTGATAAAAAATATTGAAGAGAAGCTTGTGAAACCAGTATCGAAAATGGGAAACTATTGATCCATCGGAAGGAGTATCATCTATGAGGGTAAACCGAGCACGAGCCGGGCTAATGTAAGTACGATAGAAGAAACCAGGTGTGTTCTCCTGGGAGGCCTCCCTATGCCGCAGAGATCGGACCTGCCGGAAGAGTGGGGAGCTCATATAAGACACGAAGCCAAACGCCTCTCCCAGTGACCAGTCTCGACACGAAAACTCATCAGCCGAGCTTCTTCGGTTCTCTCAATAAGAGTCGCATCACGCTTTCAGCCCCACCTGTAGAAGTGGATGGTTCCAGCAGCTGACCACTGAAATCCGAGTAGATTCGATTTAATCGAATTGGTCTTGCCCAAGGCCGAACGCACGCTACCGAGTCACAATGATATCGTCCCAGGCTCTCTCGTTACTCTTGTTGTTCCTCGCTGCGCGCGGTAAGTCCCTATGTGTATGAACTTCTTATATACTTTTTTTACTCTTCACATCTTTCCTCTTTTTGTTACCGCGTCGTTTTGTTTTCCCTCGTACCTTCTCTGACTCTTTCGCCTTTTCACGATGGTGGCTCCCCTACTATCCTCTTCCTCCCAAGTTATACCCTTCAGGGCAGAGGTGAAATCTTGTTTTATTGTGACAGTAAAGGGAGGACGTACAGCTTGCATAAATTAAGTAATTTTATTGTCGATGTTGACGATCCTTTTCACGAGAACATTTAATCAATAAACATTTTGAGTGATATTTATATTCGTTTTCTTGAGTCAAGCTATGCACTACCGATTGTTAACGTAAATAAAAAAAACTTGCACAAGATTTCGATCGGTTTCCTTTTTATTTTATAATTAATTGAGTGATGGTGGTAGCTCGGGCGTAGTAAAAGCAAACCGCGAGTGCAAGTGAAAACAGACTTTCTGTGATCAGACCGGCGCGTTTCTCACAGCCGCTGGATCTAAAAAGTGCGCGTCGGCCTACTTTCGATTGCTCTCGCATTTTAACGGATGCCTCCTCCCTGAAGTCAACTTAATTACATGCGACAGTCACATCTCACCTACTATGCGTATATATTTTTCACTAATATTTTAACACCATAGAGTTATATACTAAACGCGCAACCTAGTATCATCTATATTATAGTATTTCATGTAAAATTGAATTCGACGAATTATAAATGGAGCGCTGCCATCGTGTATCACTTAATGAAATATTTAAATGATTAGACATCTCTCAGGGGGAGGGGCGCAATATTGACTAACATTCACGTTGAGTTCTTTCTTCCATTACATAATGTTTGTTAATTTTTAACATAGCATCCGCCAACGTAAAAGGAGGCGCACCTTCTACAAACAATTAAATGTTGCATGCATCTTTATGAAACAATAATGAACACCCGCTGGATTTCACACATCTTGAGAACTTTCTCCCGTGACACGGGAGTGAAAATATGAAAGTAGCTCGCCGAACAGATCACAGCTCTCTCTCTCTATCGCTCTTTCAAGCATTTTGCATCCGCGAATCGCGGAGTCACTCGACTTTTCGATCCCGTCTAACGTTTTCATTCGTCTTCCAATAATTTATAAAACATTGACATTATACTTTACACACGCTCGGAAGATGTGACGAGTATAATAGTTTACTCATTTATCATGCGGAAAATGTCACTTGCATATCAAGCCTCTTCAGTTGCGAAATACGCGCGGGTAAAAGTACTTCCCGTTTCGTAATTCTTTCTAAATAAATACTTGATCGCTATTTAAACATCTGTACGGGAAACACTTTTCGATACTTTCACTTCACGTTAAAGATGCTACTCATCGATTTGACATTTTATAATGGACCGTCTATAGCCTCGTCAGACATCAGGTAGACATCTTTTTTCTACACGTAACCACCTTGTAACTAAATTTCCATTAGGAGTGAATCATCTCTTTTAACTTTTCTCAAGATGTCCATTGATTATTCTGATTTAATGTAAGCAATATAAAATGTTCTTGTTATTATTATGTTATGTTATGATTAGTATGAGAATTAATATAATATAACATCGGGTCGCATCGATTTTGCTTCAGTCAATAGCCCTGCTTTATACATGTAAGGGACTGTACTTTCTATCGTGACGTATCAACATTAACATAGATAGAAATCATTCGAATTGTCGACATCCCGCACCTAGTCGAATTATTTATTTATATTGACAGATTTTCGCGATCATTTTCCTTCCAATTGAGACAGAAATTCTATAATAATAAACTAGTCGCCCGGAAACTTCCTTACGTCACACTGCCTGGATCCGGAAGTATCGATACAATCAATACAAAAAGCATCATTATCCAGTTGATTAGTTGGAAAAGAGCGAGGCGAGTATTAGAAACGTTCCAGCGCAACGTAACCTCGGAGTAAAAAGAAGTACATTATGTGTACGCGTGGAGAAGAAATAAAAGGAAATGAAGCCAGAAAAAGAAGTGGACGAATCATTAGAGAAACTGGTCCTTCTACGAATTAATCTGGATATAGTATTAACCCATAGTGTTAAATCATCTATGGAGAAAGGAGAGAGTGTTGTCAAGAAGAAAAGTGAATTCCATTTGGGAAAACCACACGCGTCAACTACGAAATTAATAGAAACGATAATAAAACTAAATAAGTCGCTGTAGAAGGTGGATACAGTTAGTTTAAACAGCGTGAATGGTTCGACGCTTGGAAGGCGGAAAGGGGAGCGAGTAAGAAAAAGCTATATCATAAAAGCCACGCTATATCATAGAAGAAGAGGGAAACAGCGTGCAGACTGCATCTCGTAAACGGCGGCGGCGTCTAGATAGCATATTACAACGGGTTGACTTTTGACGTGGAACGTTGCACTTTACGGAAGGAACGTTGAAAGGTGGGGCCTATGACTACCATGAACGACCGCTTTGCTCGCTCGCAAGTTGTAACTCTTCTAACTCTACCGATCCCGGGAAGGCCGTCGGTGTGTGTTTTATTTCAACGATCAGGAAACAGCGCAGCAGCAGCAGCAACATTTTACTCCAGCAACAAGGTTCCCGGTATGCGTAATAATTTTCCGCATTATCGAACCTGAAGTCCGTGCTAAACGCTCCAACGACTTTGATACGCTAATGCAATTATACGCTGTGGAACTGTTGGACAGAACCATTTTTTATTTGACACTCCTAATACATCTGTGTTCAATCTCACAACCACTACAGCTATCCGAAGAAATTTCCATTCATTACATCTAATTCCTCGTGCATTTCAATCTTGATTAAGGATAATGTCAAGAACCTCGGAAATTACAGATGTCTAAAATACCAAGTTCATTAAACAAAAATAATGAAACACTGTACAAGATAGATTATGGAATAATTATAGATTGAAAGAAGACGAGAAAGAAGAAGTTAATATATCATAGTAAATTACACGTGAAACGTGAATTAAGACTTTCATGGTAGAAAGAACCTCGCCTTTGATATTTATTGTTAGACGCGAATCGACGATCAACTACGAGCACTTACTTCTTTACAAGGAGTCGTAAAGGAAGGGAAAGTATCTCGGTACCTCGACGCTACTAATAAGAGTCTCTATTGCATAACCCAGCTGCCTAACCAGGGATGTGTCCACCTACAAAGTCAAAAGGCGTCTTAACGATCTCAAATCTTTTTACACACTTCTCGCACATCATTGCTATGATTATATCATTCTTGATAATTCTCGGTCATAAGGAATTTCTAATATTCTAATACAGTTTTGGCATTTTTTTACTGGATTGTACGTTTCATCAAAATTCTGTCATTCGACATGAGAATTCAAGATGTAAGAACTTTCTTAATAGATTCGCAAGATTTCTAAAATTTTGTACTGTGGTTTATTAATGTAATATCTGCTAATTGTTAAAATTTCAATGCTTTGGCATTGTTTTTATTTGAGGGTTCATACAACCCTAGCCATTCATAATCGTACCCTCCTTATTAAAACAATTAAGTGTCTTCAGTTGCCATAGAACTGATAAGATCGAACAAGTCATTTCCATCCAGGTGTAAGTTAGAGTTACGTACACTTTTCCTTGAGAAATTGATTGTTAAGATCTCGGAAGCATTGTCGCTCCCTATTCGCACGGAGCAACGTTCCATCGATAGTTCTAGAGTTTCTGCAAGGCGACGAAGCGATCCACTTGGAAAGGCGCGTAAGAGACAGGTACATACATACTTGGAGGCATGCTACGCTCGCTTTTCCTCAGCTATGCGATTACTCGAAAAATCTCGATGTATTGCAACGCAATATTGCCGTTTAATACACACCGTAGGTCGAGTCCGATGTGAGGGGAAGGGGAGTGAGATTAGAAATTGCGTTAACCCTCGAGAATTTTCCCTTTTCCCCTATAGATGTGTACTTAAAAGGTATCGTTGAACGTCTAAATGTGAGGTAATTTTACGATCGTCGACTCGATTGGCTAGTTAGATCGTAACATTCCATCCAATTCAGTATTAAATTTTTATAATCCGACAGAGTTAAATAATGAAGAATTTAACGCGTCAGTGCGAAATGTGTAGATGACTACGAGATTATATTCCAGACATTAAGAAAAGTTTGATAACTTTTCAGCTAAAGAAAAGGACAAGGCTGTTCTAATGAAGTAGCCTAATACTTTAAGTCCTCCTAATCGTAATCTGCGAACGAAAATGAGATGTCATAAAAATGATCATCCTGTTTCGTGGCTTGTAGGCGCTTATGTATCCTTGACATTCAGCCGCTCATCTTGGATCCACCGGTTTTGCTCGGAAACACGTTTAAGACCTCCTGAAACGAAACTAAAAAAGGGTTTCCAAATCCACTTAGAACCATCCGCACCCCACAACTTGTTTGAACGTATTACAAACCGCCTCTGCTATAATCAGCTGCAGTGGTCCGAGCTTTAATTCGAGATGACAGTTCGATCTTCCCTTGTTCGCTTTGCATTCCCAAAAACGGATGAACCGGATAATTATAAATGAATTTAGCTTTTTTTCTAACCGAACGAATCCTTGTTTCTGCAGTACTTCTTACATTTTATTAAAACAATTTCAGAAATTGTCTGCGGTTTGACAATTTCATACAATTTCTAATGTTTAGCATTCGGAATTTTTATTACAAATGATTTCCGTACAGAGAAAATCACTTATGGTGAAATAACTCAATAAGGAAAGGTTTGAGAAAGTTGAGTTTTCCAATTTCCTGTGCAGCGATTTATCGGTAGTCAGGGTCCTAAAAAATTGGAATGTTAGATCGGAATCGGTGTATCGAACATTCGATTTTACGGAGCATGGGACAAGGGAAAGGGGCAGGCTGAAGGTTGCAAGTCAAGGCTAGACACTTTCACTCGGAGCTATGCTCTCTTGGGAGCGAGCTTAGAGTTGGCTTCCCACCTTACTTTACTATTTACTTTTCTACCCGGTCTCTCTGGGCAACGGGCACCGAATTACGCCCATTAGAGGAGATATTACGACTGCCAGCGTGTAACCACCCGCGGTTAAACGGATTGCACGGTTGTACCATCGCGGGATATACAACTTTGGATGCGATGTAAATTAAATTCGTAGCGGCCGGTTCGTCGCGGTGAAACCGGTATTTCGTTTCGCGTTTCTTAATCCGTTCCGTTAAAGTGCCAGTTAAGAAGTCATTCATTTTCAAAAAGTCAAGTCATTTTCAGAAAAAATCACTCAGGCTTAAGTCTCCTAATTCTGAGAAATGACGAAGAACATTTCGTATGTACACATACGAAAATCATATCCTATTAAAAACGTAAGAGTTTTCCTTCGTAGCGTGTTTTTCTTTAGACGTTGAATTGAAGAACTTTTCATCATACTGGCTATTAAATACCTGAGACAAGTTATATCGCAATTTTCACACGGTTACATAAAGCGCTTATGGAATATTAGCACCTTTCCAGTTGCTACGAACATCTGAGAAAACGTAAGATTACGATCGACGACTTCGCGATGCGTTTTTAATTAAGAGATTCACATGCGATAATATACGATGTGATAATTGCATTGTAATCCCGACAAACTGATGATGTTGAAAAGCAACTATAATAATCAAATACTCTACCTTGAATTCCAGAAAAATTCTTCTTCATTTGTATGCACGATTTCCATGAATAGAATTGATATTATCACTATTATTCCCACAATCTTCGATTTCTTTTTGGGATCGTGGCTGGCTCACGATGGATCGATATGCCAGCGAACAATGAGTCACGAATGTTCGATCGAATCGGGGAAGAAATCGTGTTACTATGCCTCACGGTCGCCGGGAACGTGTTTCTGAATTGAAAGAAGAGAACACGAAAGCGGCGTCGTGCAACTTGATAGCAAGTCGCTTCTTTGGCCTTCTCAATGGAAATTACGCATAATTTCCTGTTCGTATGGGTAGAAACGTATGCGACAACGTTCCTCGGCAATGTTAACAGTCGATAACAGATCGTTGATGTCCAATCCGCAGCCAAACGTTTCGTAATTGGTATTCATTAGCGGCTAATAGTAGTCATCCTCCTCTCAGTCACACCTTGTATTACGAGATAATGTATGTACGAACAATCCATGAATGAAAATTATGGATTTTCAGTACAAAAGATGGAGTATTGTGTTATTAAGAATTACCTTGTATAATAGAATAATGAACGATTGTGATGTTTGACTTTATGTTTGGAAATTAGAATAACGTCACGGGTATTCTTGAAATTGTTATTTATCTTATTTAATATACATCATCTCATATACATTTTCTGTTTCAGGATCACAGAGTCAGAAGCAACAGCAGGAAGACCCTTGCCAAACAAAATCCAGAATCGTGGGTGATATAGAATATTGTGATCGTTATTGGGAATGCGTGAACGGTCGACCGGAATTATTCGATTGTCCGAACGGTCTGGTCTTTGCCGGAAAGCATCGGGGCGTAACCGAGGGTTGCGACTACCCATGGAGGGCGAATTACTGTGACGGTAAACGTCAAGCGAATCCGCCGATTCCGGTCGAGCACTGCGACTGGCTTTACGGTATCTTCGGCCACGAGACGTCATGCACCAGGTACTGGACGTGCTGGAATGGAACCGCCACGGAGCAGCTTTGCATCGGCGGTCTTTTGTACAACGAAAAAGCCAGATCCTGCGATTGGCCAGAAAACGTCGAAGGATGTCAGAAGCATCGTGAGTAAATCGATGGCCAAGCTTCTTATTTCTGCTTTTATTGATTGGGACGTCGTTTCTAAAAATGCTATTAATCGCTCTGCATGACTAAATACTAACTAAATTGAATCCTCGATCCTTTATTACGAAATTCGCGAGACTACTCTAAAGTTTCCTGCTCACTGAATCATCTGTCTTCTCCTCTTTCGCAAAACGTGTGTGTCACATTTTGCCGGAGGCGATGTTCGCGATCATTCTCACTTTCGAAAGCGATCATGCAAGAGGAGAAGAGCACACGTGTGAGTATGAGGTGCCTGTGACTGTTTCTCCTTTATGCCTCGCGGAGTCAGTGGCCTCCCCGGGGAGGGAAAAGAGGCGAGTCGTTAATTAGCATTCAAAGTGAGCTCCCATCTCCTCACGCATCGTCTCGGCGGTAACCAAATACCTGACAGTCACATAGATAAAAAGTCTTCATTCATTCCTATCAACTCCAAAAATAACCTGTCGGTTATACCTTGAGCTTCTGCCGTGAAACTTGTTTATTCAATTACGATTTGCACTCTGTGCAATGTGATTTCTACGAATAATATAATATTCATGTAACATAAAGCTAACATTCGCAATGCGCGTACCATGAATCTCGTACGTTAACACATAAACTCTAACACGCATTGGGATTGCTTAATTAACAACCTTGTCAGAACTTCTCGGAGCAGAGTGTCGTATAACGCTTAACTGAATACCCGATAGCTCTGTGCAACGAGGATGCGAACGGAAACGTCCCCCTCGGCAAGTCCTGCAACCGTTACTGGCAATGTCAAGGCGGCTATCCACGGCTTCAAAGATGCCCGGCGATGTTGGTGTTCGATCGACGATCGCTAAGATGCGTCGTTCCACCGACCGAGGATTGCGACGTGCCTACGACGCCGCCGAATCTCGACGGTGATTTTCCCGAGGGGCGAAATGAACAGGAACCGGAAGAGGAGAATCTTCCTCCCGGCGTTCCACCCTTGCCAGCTGGCGCGCTCCCGATTCAACTCCGAGCTCGCCCCAGAAATTAAATCTCCGAACGCTGTTCCGTGAATCGTGAACATAGCCTTGGGCCGCATTTCTGCGTGTGCAGTGCGTAACGTAAGACACGGTCGAGTCTTTTTTATGCATAGACTGCACATCTGTACACGTTGATGGAAAGATCAGGTGAGAAAGTACACAAAGCGGCAGCGTGTGACAAACAATTATTCAAGGTAGTATAATAGTTAAAATACAAAACGAAGACTTGATTTAAACAATCTTTTTAAATTGAAGGCTGGTAGGTGCAATGGATTGCTCCCTGAAAAGTAATATAAATTTTGTAATGAATTAGTTTACATATATAAAGTTTATTGTTTCATGTAATTATACTTCGCCATTTATGTTCTCTGTTTGGTCATCGAAATCTATCATGCATATGTTGAACTCATTTGTTATTCGTTTATTAAAATTGTGTAATGAATGCAAATAAAAATATACAAGCATTCTAACACTTCTCATGCACAAAAAGTTTTATCATTTCGTTCAGCCTAACGCATTTTATTCATTTTCACCGCATAAAACCTTCAGTATTACGATAGCGTCCAATTTAAATTCGCTTGTGTAACGTCGACGCGTTACACATTACACGCATGAGAATGCTGCCCGAGGATGTCTATTGACTGAAAACGGTTGGAAGATGATTGGAAATCATTTCGGGGGTTTCAAAAAATAAGGAGTCTATTCGCTGTTACGCAAATAGAACATTTTGCTGATATTGTAATCAGCCACGCATCTGTCGTCGACGAGGAAAATTACCGCGGGAGCTGGGAGCGTTGTTAAATTCATTTTTTATTATATATATAACCGCTTCGTTCCAGAGCATGTAATTTTTATTACTTCATATTAGAAGTGTCAAATACTCTTCGATCCACCCTTAATCTCTTATTCCTTTCCTGATCTTTCTTTTTTGTAATTGACGTAATCGTATGTCGACGATTCTTTGTGCACGTTTAAGTTCGAAGCATATGACGAGTTGAGAGTCATAACGTGAGTCGAGTTCGTGCTATTTATAAAACCAAAGTTCCGTATTTATTATTATAAAAAGCTATGTGCATTTTCTGAAACCATGTTGTATCACAGACTTAAAAAGAAAAAAATGAAGAATACGATTATTTCGATTTCGACTTATGATTCTCAACCCTTCGTACGAATAACATCGTACGGAATTACTATTAAGCAACACTCACTCTCTGTTCTCTGTTATTCTTATAATCGAAGTGTAAATATTCCCACTTAGCTATTCTTACCTCCCCTTTTCGCCCTCAATTGTAAATGTCTATCAAAACGTTCGCACTTGTACGAGTGTAGACACGTTGGAATAAAGTGTACGTTACATTTTTTTCTACGCATGACCACTTTTTATTCAAGTACACGTTTTACATGTCGTTATTTTTATGATTACATAATCATTTTCCCGTATATTTTTAGAAAAGACAGCGTTGTATTTTTAATCGATAAAAAAGTAAATCTTTTCATGATTATTTCAATAAACTTTTAGTCAGACGTTAAGAAGCAAAAGGAAATGAAGACTTCCTATTTCAGAAATTCGAAGACTGACTTTCAAAAACAAATGACTGACATTTCTATGTAAATTTAAGAACTATTTGGCGCTGAAACAAAGAAAAAAATAGTTTGCGTAAGTTTCGTTCAGTTTTGCAAAATATCGATTGAGGTAAATATTAATTAAACGATAGAATCGGTAACGTACCAGTGAGGTAATTCTTTAGAATCCAAGCAAGTTAGAGTCACAGAATCGAAAAGTTTGTGGTCACCACACGTGAGCAATCGAGGCTGGCCATTGACGCAGGTGATCAATCTACCGCAGTCTCCGGGTACAGGGAATCTAAAGTAAATATTCTTCGTGTACACCTCTTTGCATTCTTTGCATAGAGATAGTATTCACCAAAATTGCCAATAATTTTCGTTTCAATGACTGAATATAATGAAATAAAAAAATATGCGATACCAGACATGTTTAACATGATCGTTAATAAAATTGAATAACCGTAAAACACCTGTCTCTTCTCTTGTAGGTATCCTCGAAAACGTAGACCGGTTTTTAATTAACCCACCGGCTGCCGAATATTTTAAAACATTGATTTCGTCTGTTTTTATATGCTACCCAGCGTGCAGTAATTTCTTTAATTCGTGAAACTTCTACCAAGAATATTTAAGGAGGAGAATCACTTAAATTTAAATCCAATACTTTTATCTTTTATCGAAATTGCGTTCAACATTAAGTGTTATCAGAAAGCAAAGTTACTTTTATGGTTGAGTAAAAACTTAATACGATTTCCGATACTCTCTGAAGATGAAATTAAATCATGGTTACGTTACGACTAAGGAAACAATCGAATCATAAAAAGAAATGTAATACTTCTCCCTTCAATTTCACCAATGAAATTTTCATACCTGTTAAATGTAGATTGCATTCAATCACAACTACATCTCACTCATTGTTCGCGTTTGACACACCTTGAGTGAAATTTCATTTGTAGCATTCACGAATACTTTGGTATTAAAATTGCTTTCGAAATAGTAAATTTTTAGATCATTAACTTACCTGGGGTAAGGCCAAAACTTAGCAGCTGGACTGTTTTTGGGTATTTTTTTCGGGCACTTAAAGCCAACCACTTCCTCGGGGTTGCACAAAGGTATCAATTGATCGGGCCACACACAAGTATGACTCTTCTCGTCGTAAACTAATCCCGCATCGCACTGCTCTTCTGCAGGGTATCCGAATGTGCATTTTATGTAATGAGTGCTGCATTCATCGCTTGAGGGGTAGAGACCGAATGCGAATTCGCAGCCAGGATGGCTAATTGGGATTACTGAAAATAATTCATAAAAATTTCATCAATATAAATTTTACTTTCCTAACTAATTATAATATGAAAACAGAAGTTTTTATAAACAATAATAATCGATTTTGATTAATACAATTAAAGAAAAATAACGAGGCTATACAGAAATTTTTCTTAGACCCTTCCTGGCACTTTGTATTAGGGCCAAGAAAAACGGCTAAATAAATAAAGAAAAATAAAATTAAATTCATAAACACAGAACTAATTTCGAAGTTAATTTACTGAACAAACTATGTCGCAGATTTTTACTGATCTTGAAGATATACTCTATATAAAACAAGAATGTTGCAACGTAATGAGAGATAATTCGGTTGATGGCAGTTTTTTATAGTGATTGGCATTGACGTGACCCACAAATCGTAGCACCGAAACTGTTCTGGAAACGAGACTTTTACTTTCTCATGATGGGATATCTTATACAATGGAACGTCAGATATATTATATAAAAACAAAATTACAAATAAAAGCGCTGTACGTTAAATATTAAAAAATAAATATTCATATCATAATAAATCCGAATCCGAAATCGAACGCGATTGGATTTTTTTATCTCCGTTGCAATGTAGCCATTTAATATCTCAATTCTTTCTGCAATCGATTCGATTAAACTTTCAATCGCTAACAATTTTCCTTATCATTCGATACTATTACATAAATTCGCGCCGCTTTAAAGCGATAACGGATCCGGGTGGAAGGATAAACCTTCACGCGTGCTTCCTACAGCCTACCTACGGCCTACACGTATCGCTATACATATGTAACATTGCCACGATTACGCGAATACGTAACGCGATACTTACGTTCAGCCTTGCGGTCCTCGCAATTGACAGCCCAGTAATAGTTGCAATGGTTGTGTACCGATCCACGACCATCGTAAAGTAATCCATTCTCGCAGTATTCGAGGGTAAGGGTGCCGTTCTCACATAGAAAGAATGAATTGCATTCCTGAGGATGAGGATACGTATGGACGCCAAAACCATCGGGACATGGTGGTGCACCCAACAAGGGCGTCCCTGCCTCAACTACATTCAAAAGGGCAAAGGTTATTAATCAACCTCCTGATTCGATGTTTCCCAATCTTCTACAAATGTCTTTCTTTCATAAATTTTTTAATGTAGAGAGTAAGAAATAGTAATTCACGGATAATACGAATGAGAAAGATACGTGGCGAAAGCAAAACGAGAAGGCGAGTTAAAGCTGAATGAATCCTGATTTCTAAATCAACCGGAAAGACGAAACATTTATGGTTTAGATTCTCGCAGGGGAGCACGATAGCAAAAAGAGGAGCATGCTCAAATGACAAAGTATATCGCCGAGCGAAAGTGTTATATTCGCGAATCGCGGAATGGAAAGTGGAGGCTTCTTTGCGAGCAGAAACAATCGACGAAGACGCGAACGAGATAGAGAACTGCCGGCCGCAGGAGCAAATCCCCTTGCAAGAAGATTTCTAGCGCCGACAGTCACGGTAGAAAGGAAGGACTAAGAATAAGGAGTTGGTGGCAAGAAATAAACCAGCCGCGGCTAGAAAGAGAAACTTGCATATCTTAACGATATTGATCACATGAGTTCAAGTTATGGTCAGGTGTCGCTATTAACAGAAACTGAAAGTGAGCTGGATTCTAAACTTGTCACTCGTTTTCTGAAATTGTTTTATTCACGCCATTGAGTGATAGCTCACGGACATGTTTTCAAATGCGAAATACCAAGTGTGTAACAGAAAATATGAGAAATAAAGGAAACTGTAAGAACGACGGAAAATTAGTAACAACAAGTAAAATAATAAACATTCGTAATATTTAGTCGGCAAAAAGAATAGCACCTGTGACCTTAAATTGCTGGCCACTGATGCTCCTTGCAATTTCTCTTTACGTTCGCGTTAAAAGATAACAAAGGATGATGCACGTAGGAATAAAAACAGGACGAGACAGGAAGAAGCGACGCAAACCGTGCATGAATAATGCATTTAAGATAGCGATCGTCGATTAACGATGATCTCAAGAACGCGTAGTAGCGCTTGAGAACTACGTCTTAAGAGAGTTTCGAGTCCTTTTGAATAGTATTCAATATTTGTTAACAAGAGTAAACCAGCTAACATGAAAATTTGTCATGCTTATATTAATTATGCTCATAGGTAATTTTGATATTTATTGAAACTCGTCAAGACTTGACTAGAGATTTGAATCTTTCAAATACCGGATAGTTTTAGACTAAGTATGTAATGAAGAGGATGGCGTGCAAATGTCCTAGACCAGGTCCGCCATTATATCATAGGTCGCATCGACGTAACCATATGGCGAGAGGAGGCAGTTGAGACGAGGAATGGTGAAAGTTATTGAAATTATACGACGTGGGTGTCGTAACATGGGGAACGACCGAGTCCAGACGCGGATACGCCTGCTGGAATGCAGCCCGGAGAGCGTTTGGCGCTTTACGCCGAGGTGCATCCTGCGGCTTCTTCAGCGGATGCCGAAGAGGAAGGCCTCTTCGGTGGTGAACGCGTAGATAGGTGTCGGCGGAGATGATTGGATTATAGGAAAAACTTACCAGAGGCCAACAGGGCCGCCAGGGCCAATAAGGTCATGCTCTTCCGATGCTCGATCATAGTTGCTCGCTCGGGTCTGATCCTCCACTCGGGTCGATTCTGACTACTGACACTTTGTTATCGACTTCGGAACAGAGAGCTTCTCCCTTCACTTGCTTCGGTATAACTTACTCTCTCGCTACCCCACCCGATCGTTCCGCGGATTCGATTTACTCGCGCGACCGTGGCGGCCTCGGCTAACCGATTCGAGCGGAATCGAGCGTGTCCGCCAAAACTTTGGGCCAAAAATTTCGATGCGAGGGAGTGGGGAAACAAAGCCGAAACGTAACATATTGTCATCCGACAGGAATATCTCCTTGTGTTTAATGCTGCATAAAAATTTGACATATCTTTATATATTTTAAATATGTGGGAGGGATTCTGTCGATGAAACGTTCTGATTATATACATAATATTTTCTAACATCGATAAGCAATTTGTTTCGATTTATAGCGAAACGAATGTAAATTTGAATTATTCACGCTGGAATTGTTTAGATTTAAATAGAGCAGAACTATCTGATTATTTAGTTAGTATTGCATTTGTAATTAAATTTATCTGCTATAAAGCAGTTTCATACTTCGGAGTTACAACTCGGAGTTCTCTCTAGCTAACTAATATTTAAGTACATGCAGGCATCTACAACACGCGTGCAGTTTCGCTCGATCTTCCAAGATATTCATTATTCCTTTACATAATGCGCAAACACATTAACGTCTGTGAAACGTACATTGAAAATATTAATTCAATTACACGAAAGATCAACTCGAATCTCATATGTCCATGGTTTTTGACGTTTTGTTGAATTTCCAATTTTTAAAAATCGTTTACCATTATTAAACATTTTATGGAAAATGATAATGTATTGACTACATTGTCATATACTTGGCCCACTACCTTCATAAGGTACAGTTAAACCCTCGAGGTCTCAACTGGCCTTACGCAACAATCATCAGTTACTTGGAGCAACGGATCCCGAGGGGGGAACCAGATCTCCTGACATGGATAGTGAAAGCCAATGTGTATCGTTCGCGATCTCGCTACTTACGATCGGTATTATCGATGAACCGATCCGATGAACAAAATAAATAACGTCACGGTCATGTCTTTGATCGATTAATTGATTTCTGTTTTCTATTCCACTCGAGGATCTTTGATTATGTTCCCTATTATTTACTACTTGTTGTTTCTTACGTCAATATTGTTATTTTACACGTTAAATGAAGTGTCCTACAAAAACGCATTTTCACGGAGCAAGCTGAAATTTAAATTGCCCGACGTAACGCAATTAAAAGAAATTTGTTTCATTGAGCGCATCGTAAATTACGTAAAGAGAAAGGTTGCAATCAGGCGAATTAAGTGAAATTGTCTTGCCAGCTCAAGGAACTATTGGGGACCCCGCCTCTTATTGTATTCAAACAAGCTCGATTTTCCAGTGTTTCAATTTAAGGGAACTAAAATTATTGTTCCTTTCTCTCTCTGGTTGCAACCAAAATCTTAGAGTATCGTAAACTCCAACGTATGTATTTAATGATTTTTTAATTTTTTAGTGGTCAATTGAAATATTAACTTAGCAACTTGCAGTTACTGAGTTTTCTGATGCAACACGCTACAACAAAATATATAAACTGGTACGAAATATCCGTTTATATAAGGAGAAAGGTAGAATTACAGAAGGAAGGTATATGCAAACGCCAATCATTTATATAAGTGTATCACGGATTTATTGTTCCTAACTGTAAAAAATTAAGCGTTACACACATATCGCTAAGCAACTGGCACCTTGTCTTTGTTCAGATCTTGTTCTTATAATAATCCTCGCTGTAACAAGAAAGGCCAATGAAAGTATAGATTTTTGTTACCTTAAAATTAATCACGGCAGGATTCAAAATCCGATTCTTACCATCCTGGTACATTCTCCGGATCGGTACACCTAAAGCTGTCCTCGCTATAAACGGTACCAGCATCGCACTGTCCTTTTTGTGGCACCACGCCATTTTTGCAGATGTAGAATTTGGCACAGTCCTCCGGATGGGGGTATGTAGGGTGCGGTAGAATTCTACCAAGAGGCCCGGCCACGTCACCGTTGGGACAAACGAAGCCATCGTCGAGAACGTCTCTCTTGACATTTTCACATAGCCTGCTGGCGTCTGCCGGCCAGACGCAGCTGGACATTTTGTCTTCGTAGATCAAACCAGGCGGACAAGACATCATTTGAGCCACGCCGTCTATGCAATTCATGAAACGATCGCACGCGTTCGGATCCTCGTGTTTAAAGTAGCCATTGGCGCGTGGGCATCCTTTGCTCGGCTGTGGCTCCTCTGAATATTTAATGTTGCAAACTAAGTTCTTATACAGTTTCAATATTTAAACTTGGTTGAGAAGCGTATTAGGATATCGATTGTATCAACCAGCTAGGAGTAACAAACTTTTACATTCTCGGATTCTTGGATCTCCAGAAATGGAAGATAAATTAGTATGCAAATTTATTCGTACGTTAAAAAATGCTCGCAAGCAGAAAGAAAAGGAAAGGAAAGAATGAACAAAGATTAAAAGCGAATCCGACGATGGGTTCAGTCAAGAAACCGGTTTGTTCAAATTTATCGCATCTTTCGCGACCCGGGCTAATCACCATTCTTATATCGCACATTCGAATTCGCAGACCCGACCGTGCCGTCAAACGAAACCTGAATTCCATTTTTAGGCTTGCTAACGTTTCGCCTAACAGGGCCAAGCTTTCGATTTAGAAAATCGGTACGATTTTTCGTCTCGTTCAGGAATCTATAATTCAAGTCCATGATCGGAATTTCTTGAAAATGTGAGGTAATGTGACCAGAATATTCCCGTGCGCGCAATCCCGTACGCATAACTTTCACCTTTACTTTCCTATAAGTTTGCTTCTGGAAGTTCTCGGTATCGCGATTAAATCTCGTTTTGCTTAAATGCGAGATAACATTTGTCTGTGATATTCTTTTAAAATTATGATTATTTCATCGTGTTTCCCACAACCAATGTAAAACGAATTCAGCAGGCCAAATAAAAGTAGTTAGAACTTACGAAGAAGGGTTCTGTCCCCGCAAGGCACATTCGAAGGAATATCGCATAGCTCTTTCTTAGGATTGTCGTCCCTGAAGAGGAGACCATCTTTGCACAGCTTTTCTTCCGGCTTTCCGTCCACGCAGACGTAATAGAGATCGCACTGCTCCGGATCAGGGAAGAAACCCTTCGGTTCCGGGCACCGGAACTGCGCCCTGCTCAAGGTCACAGCACTGACCAACAGAACGAAGAACACTCGAAGAAACATGATCCCTTGTTCCTCTTCAAAATCCTTAATCTAAGAACACGAAGTCCTACCGGACGCTCTCTCTATTATGTTTTTCCCTCTTCCTTTTCTTCTTCTTTCCCTTCCGATCTATCGACAGCACGTAGCAACGTGGGTATGATGTGAGTGCAGACCTGAAACTGGTCCTGATTCGCCTGCTCGCCAAACCACCTCTGCATCCTTGCTTGCATTTCACAACCCCCACCCCCCTTTCGCCGAAACTCCTTTCTCGCTTGCTCTCCTATCGCCGCTTTTCTTTTCGACGGGTGTGTCAATACGTTTCTCGATCCATCGGAGAGCCTGCTCGGCTTTCCGTTTGCCCGCGTTCTTCTTGTTTCCTCGCCCCGGTACAGGATATACGCATATTAATAACGCCAATATTCCTGTTTATCAGCCACTTCCGGGACGACGCCCCACCCCTGTACTCAAACATACCAAATAATTGGTTGCAACTTATCATCGATCGAGGTGTTCAACAAACTTTGTAACAATTTTTCTGTCTGATAGAAAATTATCCTAGTGATACCACATTTGTATAGTTCTTTTTGAGTGTCGCTTTCCCTTCATTATAAGACGACACAAATGCTTATCTACTTCATAGGCGTGTGAAGTTGAAATTGACTTTCGTGGCGCTTAACTCTAAATTTCTAATGTAAAGTGCACTGAAGTACATAGACACAATAGAGTTCAACGACCCGAAAATGTTGCAAAATGCAGCAAAACGAATACACGCTGACATTTGAACGCCATTCATTCACCATTTTTCAGCACGTTTACATTATGATATTCGGTATGTAGTCGATCAATCGAAAATGACTAATATGACACAGCGCGCGTTTGTGAAATTATATTTGCGCAACGCTGAAAGTGTCCATGAATGTTAATATCGTTACTTCTGTACACGTTCTCTTCCGGGTGCTTTGAATACGCGCGACGCAACGCTTGACATTCTCGTGCAGACGTTTTGCCCATACGATACCCGTTTCTCTAATTCCCTCGCAGTTTCCCCAATTTTTCATAGGGAATCATATCTCTTCAATTCTCATACAACTGTTTTCTGTTTCTTTTTTCATTAACAGTTTCTCTTCGCGTATATATGTTTCGTTAATTTGGATACGCTTTCTCCGTTTTTTCTGCGAATTTCATTTTTCATTAAATGAATATATTGATTATTCCTTTTATAGATACGATGTTCCAAACATGGTTCTCGTAATTGAAAAATCGCATCCGGAATATTTGCCATGATGGAATGGAAAAATGTGAATTCTAAATTATTTTAAACATACAATTTCACTTCCTCTTTCATTAGACAATTGCTTTTTGGGCAGCGATCCCCGAGTAACGTTTGAAAAAGTAGAACAATTTATATTCGTATTCGATTCGATCACACTTTGCAATTTAGTGCAAGCCGCCTGGTGCAAGTATGATAGAAAGAAGTAAGCGTAGAGTATGAAACCTCTAAAATGATAATCATGCAATATATTTGTTATGACACCGTATAGTTTAATGCAATACTCTTTAATGTCAAAGGTTGATATTTTGAATACTTGGCTCGTGAATAAATGAGATAATGTGTCTGTAAAGGTCATCCAACTTGCTTTTAATGGCATAGACAATCCAAGTATAAGATTTAAGTATTAT